ATCAGCAAAAGAAACCAAACCAAATCTTATTTTTTGAAATTATTCGATTTGTTTTTAACATGATGTTTGTGTCTCAAAGAGAGAGAGAGAGAGAGAGAGAGAGAGAGAATCTTTCTGTATGTGTGTTTTTCTTCGCTTCTTTTTGTTTTTTTTGATTGCTCTTAATGCGATTATTATTATTATGGTTGATGACATTGGAATTTTGTTGTTTAATTCAACCAAATCTTTGAATGTCTGCTGTTGTTTATTCATCACTTTAAACATCCGATCATTTAGCAAGCTGATGAAAAAAACGACAAACTGAAAGAAAGAACTGTTTGAAGAAGAAGAAGAAAAAAAGACAGAAAAACTAGAGCATTACAATATTGTATAACAGTGTTGTTGATTTTCGTTTCGTTTCTTTTCTTTAAATTTAGCTAAGATTTTGTTGTTGTTGTTTTTTCTCCTAACAAAAACTTTTTATTATCTTCTTGGTGTGTAAAAAAGATTTAGGTCAGGAAAACAAAAAATCTATGGATTGGTTTATATTGGTTTTCTCTTGATTTGATTCACGAAAAGCCAAATCAAACCACAAAAAAATCATTTTGAATTTTGGGTGACAATTTTTCTTTTCTTTTGTTGTTATTTGGTAGTTTTTTTTGGAAAAAGAAAACACAAAACCAACGCCCTGGCTTTTTGAATTGGTTTGATGTGTGGGAAGTATTATTATTTGCTGATCAAAGGAAATATTGAAATTGAAAGAAAGCTTAAATCCGATCGATAAATCTTTTCTTTTCTTTTTGGCTTGCTGACAACTTTTACATTTTGTTTGTTGTTGTTGATGATGATAATATAATTGTTTTTATTTTAGTTGGCTTCCGGAAATGTATGATTTTGTTTTTGTTTTTTGTTTTGGCCTATCCATCAATCTAGAAATGGACGTATGAAGATAAATGTTTTCGTTTTTTTTTTTGTAAATGATAATATTGATTATGTTTATCGGTGTGTGTGTGTGTGTCCAATGATGATGATAATTTTATTTGCAATGATGACCACCATTGTAAATTGATAAACAAAACATGAAAATCTCTTTTCGTGGATAATAATAATATAAACATCCTGATGATGATAATCAAAAAAACAAAAACCGTGGGAAAAAAATGTCTAAAAACATTTCTGGTCAAACAAACAAAAACATTATTCGTGAATATCCGGATTCTCATACACCAAACACAAACACAGAAATAATATATCCGTGCTCAGAAAGATAAATACGGAAAAAAGTTTCGTTTTGTTTATTTTGTTTCAAAATTTCATAATTTTTTTTATTTATTAAGTTTTTTTTGCTTACCTTGAATTTGATCAAATTTTTGCAATCAAATAATCATTTTGTTTGTTGATGATTGTTTTCCATCATTGACAAACACACATCATCATTATTATTTGAATATGATGATTATGTGATGATGATGATGATGGTCAAACAAATCAATTTTTGATCAATCCACACAACAAAGATTTGTTAATTGATTTTTTTCTTCTTCGTCTATACAATATTCGCGCCTTGTTTTACGAATATCAGGATTTTCACTTGATTTAATGATGATTTGATTGTCATTATCATCGTAGATTGGTAAATGAAAAAAATTCCCCTTTATATTTTGTTGTGTCAAAAAAAAAATCTCTCGAACAAGAAACTTTTCGAAAGATTTGATTAGATTTTGCTTATTGTTTTGTTTTTTTTTTGATTTGGGCCCAATTGAAAAAAAATAATAATTGTTGTTTTTGTTGCCACAAGGCAGAATCCAATTTTGCTGTTGTTGTTTCAAAAATGAAAATGAAAAAAATTTGAATTTGTCCGCTCCTTTTTCACATCTTTCGTTCGTTAGTTTGTGGTTTTCATCATCATCATCACCACTGATAATAATGACGATAACAATTATTTGGGCGTTATTTGCCCTTGTGGTCAATGTTTTTTTCCCCACTAACGAAAAATTGATAGTTTTTTTGATTGGAAATCCTGAATGCTGCTGACAAAATAAATGATCAAAGATCTTATCGATTCGATATATCGATTTTTTATTGTATTTTGTGTTTAGTTTTGGATATTCAATTAACACTTTGTTTGTTTTGATTTATTGTGTGTTTGTGTCCTGATATGATCATCATCATCACGATATTTGTAGAAGAGATTTATCATCAACAATCACCATATCTATTGTCGATAGTGATGATCCAAAATATTAAAAAAAAGGGAAAACGAAAATCGATAACAATTAATTGAAGAAAAAAAATAGATAGCCTACATCATTGATTGATTGAAAACAAAATTGATCTTGATACACACACACACAATGTGATTGTTTTGTTTTTGGATGATGATACAAAAATGTCGATCCTTTTTCGATTTTTTCGTTTCATTTCATTGTTTTTTCCAGTCGGTAATCAATTACACACACACACACACATCAAGAGATGATGATGATGATTATTTCACTTGACCACAACCTTTTTCTTGATTTTTTTTCTTGTTTTGTTTGAAGAATGGATACATTATCTGTGTGTGTTCGGTTGGTTTTCAATCTCATGTAGCGTTTGTTTCTTTTTTTCCTAAATAATTTTGGAACATCGTTAAGGAATATCAGCATCATTTTTTTGAATTTTTTCAAAAAAACCAAAACAAACTAAACAAAATGAATCGATTTCTAAATTGCAAATAATTTTTTTTGCTGTTTTTCCAAAAATAACATCATCTTTTGATGGAATGTTTTTTTTGCTCTCATTCGATGGTGATGATAATGATGAATTGACCATTATTGTAAAATAACATTGTTGTTTATGTCAATTCCAACTGTGTGTGTGTGTGTCCAGCCGAATCGATTGTATAATTTTCGATTATCTTTTGGGTGGTGGTAATGGTGGTGATTGTTATATAGTCTGCAATGATAATAATGATGATGATCTAGAATAGAAATCGAAATTGAACATTACACACATAGANTATTGATTTTTGTTTTGTTATTGTGTTTCGTTTTGGATATTCAATTAACACTTTGTTTGTTTTGATTTATTGTGTGTGTGTCCTGATATGATCATCATCATCATCACGATATTTGTAGAAGAGATTTATCATCAACAATCACCATATCGATTGTCGATAGTGATGATCCAAAATATAAAAAAAAGGGAAAACGAAAATCGATAACAATTAATTGAAGAAAAAAAAAATAGATAGCCTACATCATTGATTGATTGGTTGATTGAAAACAAAATTGATCTTGATACACACACACAATGTGATTGTTTTTTTGTTTTGTTTTCGGATGATGATACAAAAATGTCGATCCTTTTTCGATTTTTTTGTTTCATTTCATTGTTTTTTCCAGTCGGTAATCAATTACACACACACACACACACACACACACACACATCAAGAGATGATGATGATGATTTCACTTGACCACAACCTTTTTCTTGGTTTTTTTTCTTGTTTTGTTTGAAGAATGGATACATTTTTCGAGTATCTGTGTGTGTGTTCGGTTGGTTTTTCAATCTCATGTAGCGTTTGTTTTTTTTCCTAAATAATTTTGGATCATCGTTAAGGAATATCATCATCGTTTTTTGAATTTTTTCAAAAAATAACCAAAACAAACTAAACAAAATGAATCGATTTTGAAATTGCAAATAATTTTTTTTGTTGTTTTTCCAAAAATAACATCATCTTTTGATAGAATGTTTTTTTTACTCTCATTCGATGATGATGATGAATTGACCATTATTGTAAAATAACATTGTTGTTGATGTCAATTCCAACTGCGTGTGTGTGTGTGTGTGTGTCCAGCCGAATCGATTGTATAATTTTCGATTATCTTTTGGGTGGTGGTAATGGTGTTGATGGTTATATAGTCTGCAATGATAATAATGATGATGATCTAGAATAGAAATCGAAATTGAACATTACACACATAGAAACATCGATAAAAAATACAATAAAAAAAACATCTTTTACAAATATGGTTTACACAATAAAAAAAATATAGGCCTTGTATTTTTTTCCTTGAATATGAAGATGACCTGATGATGACCATACACATCTCTATTTAGTTTTTTTTTCATTCCCTTGAAAGTTGAATAAATTTTTTTCGTTTCACTTTTGAATTTTATCTCATCGAAAGCAGTTGGGGAAAAAAAATCTTTGGGATTGGTTCACATTTTGGTAGATCAAAAAAACACTTGATTTATTTTATCAAAAATGAAGATGCAATTTTTTAAAATAAATTATTGATTTAAATTTATTCTTCTTCTTCCACCTTTCAAAATCACTTCCATAAATATTTTCCATGAAAAAAATTGACCCAGAAATTTTTTTTGGCTTTTGAAAAATGATTGTTAAATACAGAAATACACAGATTTAAATATCGATCAAAATGGTGTTTCTTTAACCCTTTTTTCTTTTGCTTATTTTCATTGTTTGATATCTGATATCTAAATAATCAATATTCACTGTTTGTGTGTGGCCATTTATTATTTGTTGCCACTTTATCACCCTGTTTGATAGGAAAAAAAAGATATTTTTTCCCCCTGTTAAATAATTTACGTAGGTGTTTTTTAAAAGAAAAATAGTGTGTGTGTTCCAACAACGACCTACACATCTTCTAATCGAGTGTGATTTTTTGGTATAATTTAGTCATCATCATCATTTGGCATTGATGATGATGATCCATTCAATTTTTTCAAATTTTGATCATTTTGGGATTGAAAATCATTATTATTGAATTAATAATGATTTGAGATTTACACAAATCCTTTTGGAGTGATTTTTTTTCTCATTTAAATGACTCAATATTTCAGTAGTTTCCAAAGTGAGTCATCAATTTGGCTGAAGGATTTCACTTTACTTTGATTTTCTGATGTAATGTTTGTTTGAATATAGCCTAAATGGATTAAAATGATGATGGATTTTAATGGTTTTTAATGATTTTTTTTATTTCTCATTTTTTTACTGTCAACAACAAAAACAGTGGTAAATTTGCCTGTGTACGACGTGTAAAACATCGACAAAATGGCCGACAATATGCAGCCAAAATAATGAAACGTCGACGATTAAGACATGGTGATGTTACTGATGAAATTTTACATGAAATTCGTGTTCTATTATCGGTTGCCGATTCTGAACGTATTGTACGTTTGTATGAAGTTTATGAAACTCGATTAGATTTTACATTGGTACTTGAATTGTAAGTTTTTCTACTTTGTCATTTCAATTTTAAAAATTCTTTTCAATTTGTTCATCCATAACAGAGCCGAAGGTGGAGAATTACAAAAAGTATTGGATGATGAAGAATCGATACAAGAAAAACAATGTCGCCGTCTTATACGACAAATAATCGAAGGTGTACAATATTTACATCAAAAACGTATTGCCCATTTAGATATCAAGGTAATTTATTTTTACAGATCTTTCAAAATATTGATTTAGTTTGAAGATGATGCTCCCTTTTTTTCTGAAGATTTTTTTTCCAAATCAAGATAATTTTTTATCGTTTGCTTTCAAAATCAACGATGATGATGATGATGATGAAGATGCTAAAAATTGATTTCGATCTTTAAAGTTTTTTTTTCTAATTTCGATTTCAATTTTGCTCCCAATTTTTTTTATGGTCAGGCTATTTATAGTCAACGAGAAAAAAAAACATAAATTTAATGTCATCTCATTGACATTTTTCAATGAAAACAAATTTTCATTTTTATTTTATATTTTTCGTTTAGCTTTCTCCTAATCTTTTCGATCATTTTCGATATATTTTCCAAAATAACTTTGCTCTGGATTTTTCTCACTGACTTTGAACTTTTTCCCAATTTTTTTGAATTCGTTTTTTTCTGATCATTTTTCTTTTCTTTTTTCCATTGGTTTAGCCACAAAATATCTTACTTACTGATGCTTTACCTGATGGTCATGTTAAATTATGTGATTTTGGTATATCTCGAATGATTGAGGATCATTGTGAAGTTCGTGAAATAATGGGTACCGTTGATTATATGCGTAAGTTGAATGTGCCTTGTGTTTTTAGATTGTTTAATCATATCCCTTTTTTTCCTGTTAGCTCCTGAAATTCTTCAATATGAACCAATATCATTAGCATCGGATATGTGGTATGTATTTGTTTTGTTTTGTAAAACGTATGATGATGATTTTTTTCTCCGCTTCCAGGAGTCTTGGTATTGTAACCTATGTATTATTAAGTGGTCATAGCCCGTTCGGTGGTGATGATAAACAGCAAACGTATTCAAATATAACAAGTAGTGATCTCGAATTTCCGGATAAATTATTCGGTCATATTAGTGATGATGCTAAAAATTTTATTAGAAAATTATTGAATCGAGATCCAAAGTATGTTTTCTGTTTTTTGTTTCATTGTTGCATAAATCAAATTTAATTTAATTTTCTCTGTTTGCTTTTTTTAGAAAACGATTAAATTGTGAAGAATGTCTGAAACATCCTTGGTTATCATCTGTAGACAATAATAATATGGTCGATGAAACCTTATCAATCGATAATCTTAAACATATAACAAATGATTTGAATAATCAAACATCTGATCTGGATGATGATGATGAAGAAGATGATGATGAAAAACATTCAGATAATGATGATGAAAATATGATTGTTGTAGCCAAATCTTGTCCAACTTCGGAATCGAAATCATCATCAATGACATTATCATCAATATGTTCATTGGATGATCAGTTAGATCCGCAACAACAACGACAAAATGATGATTTATATAAAGATTCATTATTGCCATCAAGTAATTGTGATTCTGGTCTAGGTGAAAATATCTGTGATACAATGTTGATGACAACAACTGCCGTCAATAATGATAAAATGGATAGCTGCCAAAATTTAAAACAACAAATCACTATTGAATTATCAACGACAAATTCTGGTCAACATTCAAATGATAATAATAATGATGATGATAATAAAGAAAATCAAAAACCTGAACAGCCTAAACAAAATCTATCAATTCCAATGATAATGACAAATACAAAATATAATCATAAACGTCTTTCTTCGGATATATTTCCCGATCGTAAATCAATTATCGCTATTGTATCGAATTCATTACAAACAACATCGAAAAAATCTACATCAGAAAGTTCAATGTCATCATCATCATTATCATCGTCGTCGACGAAGACTACAATTTCCGGTGATCGACCATCACGAACGTTGTTGGTCAATGTTCATAATCAGATGATGATGATGACGACGGACAAACAACAAAATAATAGTAATTCTATCATTAATGATCATTCACCACCATCAACACCATCGAAAAAATTCTATCTATCAATTGATGATTATGATAATATTAATAATGATAATGTTGATCAATGGAAACGATCACCATATTCAAATATACGTTCATTATCAATGGAACGTTTAAATACAACGCCATCGTTACATGATGATAATGATGATATTAATCATATATCGACTATTCCATTGGCAACCATTGAAACACATTCAATAACAACAGCATCTACAATGGATAGTTTATTTGCCAAAAAGATCAATGATAATAATAATGATAATCCATCGTTATTTCAACATCATCATCAAACTGCCATGATGACAAAAACGACAATCATTCATCATCAAACAACTACTTCACCGATGATGAAAAATATCGACCAATAATGATGATGGTGATTGTGGTTTTTTCGTTTTCTTGAAATACAGGTCAACAATCATCATTGATGATGATGATAATAATCACCGCCAACATGATTAATCAAACCAAACCAAATATATTCATTCATTGAAAATCAAACATTTTTTAAAAAAACTATTTCATCCCGATTATAACGGATTAATTAATCAAACAACAAGTTCAAAATTATCAAATAATCTAAATGTTGTGTGTTGTTATTTATTTTTCAAGAGCTTTTTCAAAAAAAAAATTCATTTTTTTCCTTTCATAAATAATTTATACAATCAACTTATCTTTCTTTTTGTTGTGTTTGAATGTCAATTCTCATCATAGAGGATTCTGCCTACTCACAAAATCAAATCAATAATGTTACACCGTTCTTAGGAATAAAAAGAGGCCAACCAAATCTATCTTGAATTTTGTAACATTCAACAAACAAAAAAACACCAAACAAAGACACAAATTTCCCTTTTGTTTTATATTTGTTTTTTCCTCTTTTTTATGTGCGAACAATTTGGTTTTTCATTTGTCACAACGCACATACACACAATCTTTGTAATTTATCTATCTATCAATATTTTCTTAACCTTATCTTTGTTCATAATTTGTATTACCCAATTGATTTCAATTGTATTGAACAACACACAACGATCCCCGTTCTCTATTCATTTATTCATTCATTTTTGTTTTTTTTTTGCCACCACCATATAACCTCACCTTGATTATGACGAAACAAATTATGCCATAAATGAATCATATTAGACCACTATATAATAATAATTGATTAATTTATAAGAAATAATAATAATAAAATTTTATTGTAAAATTAAACCTTTTATGTTGTTGTTTTATTTGGTAATAATAATCATAATAATAACTTTATCCTTAAATTAATTTGAGTGTGAATTGCGGAAAGAAAAAATTTCTTATTACATTTTTATTGTTACTTTTAAGAAAGTGTTCAAAAAAAACTGCCATCTTGCAAATTCTGTTTTTTTTTCAGATGAAAATTTGAATTTATCCGTCACGAAAAAACAATCGACAGCCAAAAATAAAACTTATTTAATGATGATGGTAACTTTATTATTCATTATATCGAAATTCTTCAGTTACGAATAATGATTGTTTCGTTTTTTAACTCTTCTTATAATAATGTCATCATTGATAGAAAATATTGGAAAACTATTGATCATTAGTTATCAATGGTTTTGGCCAAATACAAAACAATATTTTAAACATATTGATTCAATTATGATGGGAATTCTACAGAAAAATCGAACTCATCATTATCAATATTTTTTCAACATTTTTTCGATGTCATGGATAAGATATTTATTGATCTATATTCTACCATTATCAGATCAATATCGTATTGTTTTATTTGATTCCAGTAAATATTTACAGCTAACTAATGGAGGAAATTTAATCTTTTCATTACTATTATTAGCAATGATTTATATGTATAAATATTTTTTCTCAGAAAATTATTGTCAATTGAATTCGAATGTTGTTGATTTGATTCTTGAAAAACGAAATGANCTCCGAACGCCTTTTGGATGTTAGCTATATTCTACTCGAAGATTCTTAGTCTACCTATCGAAACGTGTATTTTCCGACCATAAAATTTTTTTGACTTTTTGCATTGAAATGTCCCCTCTCAGGGGACATCGGAGTGGTAAAGGTTAAACATATTGATTCAATTATGATGGGAATTCTACAGAAAAATGATCGAATTCATCATTATCAATATTTTTTCAACATTTTTTCGATGTCATGGATAAGATATTTGTTGATCTATATTCTACCATTATCAAAACATTATCGTATTGTTTTTATGGATACATGTCAATATTTACGGCTAACTAATGAAGGAAATATTGTTTTTTCATTTTTGTTATTATTAATGATTTATATGTATAAATATTTTTTCGCCAAAAATATTTGTCAATTGAATTCAAATGTTGTTGATTTGATTCTTCAAAAACGAAATTATTTTATTTTTGAAAATAAATCACCAACAATAGAATGGTCAAATTATCTACGAAAAAGAATTCGTAAACATATTGTTCGTCGTAATCTGGAAATTTGTATGACAGGTAAGACATGGTGGTTTATATTCAATAAAATAATTGAATTATCGTTTTATATAATTTCGATGAACATACCAGGATCGTTTTTGTTCTATACACCACTTTATATCGTAGAACAAGTTATGATAAATTGGTCAGAATTTTTCGATTCTGATTATCCGAAATTTTTTGGCTATTTGAAAATTATTTCAGCTCTAACAACTTTAACATTAACTATAATGGATGGTTTTTTTACATTCCATATGGTTGAATCATTATTTACATTTATACTATGTTTCTATTGGCTTATATTGATCGAATATGATCGAATTAATCAAAAAATTCAGAAAAAACAACCATCAAATCGATTATTGACATTGTATATACGTGAAAATACCCACTTATTTTTATTTGTAAACCGTATATTTCGTTCATATTCAACAATATTTCTTGTTTATCTTGCTTGTTTTTTGCCAGCCAATCTTTATCTAGTATCATGTTTGATGAGAATTCTCGATAATGAACTGGAAGCCGATATCAAACAATTATTATTTACATTAACCTGGATAGCATCGCATTGTGTAGGAATGTTTGGTATACACTATGTTTGTACCCAATATTCAAATTGTATTCATTCGAATGGTATTAAACGATTGATTCATTTCAATACTGTCAAATCATTTGTAAAAACAAAATCAATAAATTTACATTGGAAACTATCATTTGAAAT